TGCAAGGTGTCGCAGGGGCAAGCTGAGAAGCGATACAAGATGCTGCATGAAAAAGTACAACGTGCTGTCCAGACATGGTCAAACAGATGTACTACCATATTTGCGTGACATAGCACATCTGTCATTTAGTTAACCATTTTATGTACTACATCTTTGACTATATTGTTGGCAAGTTTTGTATCATTTTTTATCCTTTATATATGCTATGTATTTTAAAGTACATCTACATTATTTATTTGTGAAATTTGTTATATGTCGCATTATTTGTGTTTCATTTATATTTAAAATAAATTTATGAGGCCTAGCGCCAGCCTTTATGTGGAGACTAAAATATAGTTCTTGGCTTTTTTTAAATACATGTTAATTTCTATTAACGTACTCTCAGGAAACATGTACAAAATCGTGTTAATTGTATCACATCTATGATCAAAGCCGGACGCAGCGCTTGTGATCAAACACCAGTTGATAGACCACCTGTGATCAAAGACCCTCTGCTGAGAAAACACATGTGGTCAAACCCCCTATGGTCAAACCCCCTATGATCAAACCCCCTATGGTCAAAGCACCGCTATGGTCAAAGCCCCGCTGTGGTCAAACCCCCTATGGTCAAAGCCCCTATGGTCAAAGCTCCGCTGTGGTCAAACCCCCTATGGTCAAACCCCCTATGGTCAAAGCACCTGTGGTCAAAGGTCCGCGCACCAGAATGTCCCATGTTGCTTTTTATACTTTTTAGAGGGTTTAGCTATTATTTTAAACCATTTTAATTGGTTGTGGCTAATTCTGTAATTCACAACTCATGATTTAATCTTAAAAAATACTTAAATAGTACTAGATCTAGTACTATTTATTTTTAAAAAGACTATGCTATTAAAGTTAAGTAAAATTGCCACAGACTTCTTTTATTTCTTTATCTATTATTATTTTTACTGTACCTATATTATTTATTATAATTTATGCAATATTTAGAGCTAAACATCCCCATACGCACATTATTAATTAGACTTTCTAACATTTAATTTTGTATTTATTTCAGAATGGTCCACAATTATAAACGAATAACTTCGGCCTATGACAGATGAGAGCAGAATTCAGGAGGAAGAAATTGAGGCTTTCTCTTCATTCAGTGATGAAGAGTGGTTGCCACCATGCAAAATTGTTTCCAAGGGGAAAAATGTTTTTTACACATTTTTAAATACATGAATTTTAAAATTTTCATAATGTGTGTGGAATTGCCCCACTTGCCATGTTTTTGGAATAAAAGTGAAATATTTAAAAATTGTATTTTATTTAGTAAATTATCTCTATATTTGTTTGCCATCATAAAAGTAATGCATGTCTAGTTATACCCTCAATATTATATTGTGGTAGTGTTAATTTTAGATTTTTTACAAATTTTTTAGAAAAGTAGTGTAGGGAATTACCCCGGGTTACCCTACATGTGAAAAACATTTTTCTGTCTATTATGCATTACTGCATCATTCACCCAATCAGTGGCGTAGCGAGGTCGGGTGTCACCCGGTGCGGCACTTAATGGTGTCACCCCCCCCCCAGAGGCATAGAGACCCTTCCCAGGGACAAACTTTCAAATTTTCGATTTGCACCCCCCCCCCTTCAAACTTTCGATTTGCACCCCCCCCCTCAAGTTTTCGATTTGCACCCCCCCCCCCTCAAACTTTCGATTTACACCCCCCCCCTCGAGTTTTTCTCTATATGTTTTGCTATTTTTTGCCTTGACGTCACCCCCCTAAATGGTGTCACCCGGTGCGGTCCGCACCCCCCCCCCCCCCGCCCCCCCCCCCCCTCGCTACGCCCCTGCACCCAATCGCCATGAAAACTTGGGAAGCTGTTGAGTACAGCCCCGCAAAGGTTTTTGTCATAGGCCTAACATTTGTACATATTGGAGTGGGGACTCCTAACGGAAATATGTGATTTAGCGCCCCGTGATCCTGCATAAGCGGATGTGGTTACTACTTGAATACAACCGGCGGCAGTGTCATCCAGAGCGTATCACATATGAGCAAGTTGGCTCCCACAGACAGTCGTTTAAAAGTTTCCACAACACTAGGAATAAGTCTCGCTACAACACTCGATGACTAAATCTAATTAGGTGTCGCACCAATGTTTCTTCCAGGATAGACTGTTTTCGGGGGAGGGGAGGGGGGGGGGGAGCTTTGCCGGAAGAAATAATGTGTTGCACCCATCACCCGTGCAGTAATGTAACCGTTAGCTCCAAGAGCCCCGTGACTCCCCTGACACCTGGGCCGTCGCCGAGGGACTTACAGCATGCCTTGGCGTGTAAGTTGGTAGTATGGACAAACCCGCGCCCTAAGATCCAAGAAATGAACTGCCGACATTGTTAACATTTAATTCAACTTCTGAAAACCAGGGCACACGGTTGATAACGTTTTGATGAAAGCCTAAAAAATCGGCGCCAGTTTGGTGTGTTGGACTAGATTTAGAGAGTCCGTGCTTCTCACTTGGAAAACTGAAAGGGGCCAGCTCGTGTGATGGAAAACCTCTGATTTATTCGTGTACCAGATGGAAATTAAAAAAAAATTAGAGCGACCCTTGTTTTCCATATATATCTATATCTATATCTATCTATCTATCGATATATATATATATATATATATATATATATATATATATATATATATATATATATATATATATATATATATATAAATTAATAAATAATATATATATATATATATATATATATATATATATATATATATATATATATATATATATATATATATATATATATATATATATATACATATATATATATATATATATATATATATATAGGGCCCAAAAAAAAATTCTGCGGGGGGGGGGGGCCTTTTTTTTCTAGTTCCGCCACTGGTATGCACCTGCCTTATTTACACGTTACATTTTTCTATCTTGTCATTTTTAATTCTTTTACCGGGGTTAGTTTGACGATGTTCTTTGTCATGTTCTTTATCATGTTCTTTGTTCTCATAAATGATAAACATCCGCTATGGTTTGACCTCTAAAGGTCTGATAGAACTGAGTCTAAATTCACGAAGAATAACTTTAATCTTTAGGGTCAATTGTGTTGTAAAGCTACACTTTTGTTTTCTCAAAATTATTTTCCAAAAAAATCATGTAAAAAATTGCCATTTAATTAATTTTAAAATAAGATTTGCAAACAAAAAATGTTAAAGAATAATTATCTTCTATCATATCAAAACTGATAAATAATAACAGTAAAACATATTTAAGTAAAAGAGGTTTACAAGCTTAAAATGTCCATTTTGAAAGTCCAAGAACTAAATTTAGTGAACTATTCTACATCTTCCCCATGTGCTACCAGTTTCGATAGAACAATTATATTTTGTTGTCTTAGTTTAAAACTCAAAGCCCTTGCCCAGCATATTTCAAATAGTTTAACTCTTGTGCTAAATACTGGAGACCATCCCACTGTTTAATGTCTTTGCTTTGAAGGTTGTTGTGTGAAAAGCTTACCCATATGATTAGCACATTGGTCTACTGAACCATGCAGAGATAACGTTTTACTGATGTGGGGCTTTGATGTAGGTTTTTATATCTACAGAACGAGTAAAACACCTGGTAACATTTGGCAGAAATTGGCTCAAGCTGTCTATTCAAATAAGAGCATTGTCTTCAATTTAAATGACTTCACCATGTTATAATAAAATTATATTAAAATAAAGTGATGGTTATGAAATTTAGTCTATATTTAAGTTAAACTTTAGTTTAGTTATTTATTTTAACAAAGCTACCTCTCACCACACATCTCATTTTTAAAATGACACCACAATATCGACACCTGAATATCCAATGTTGGATTAATAATATATAGACAGTAGGTAAATGGTAGGCCAAGATATAATCAGTATTAATGAAAGATATAGCCAATAAATTGCCTATACGTTGGGCCTCGTTGTGACTAAACTCCGCCATTATCGGGTTGCTAATTACCTAGTGGCTTTGATCCATTAAATTATGCCTCGTCTTTAAAATGTAACTGTTGTTATCATTATAGCACCACACCCCCACTTTTTTGTTTATTCATTAATAGCGTTTAAAGTACCATCTACATATAATGTTTTGTTTGTGTTACCTTTACCTACTAGCTAAGGTATACGATTAGGAGCCGAAATCATTTCTTCTAAATTGAATTCCACACAGAGAAAAAATCGTTTAAATATCAAAAGTTTTTTTTATCAAGGAACAGACTTGACTAATTATAGCTATTAATCACTTCAGGAGTTTCTACTTCAACAACAGCACTGAAAACATTTAGCAGAGTTGTCTTGCCGTCTGTGTAGTCATTAGGACTAGCTGAAACATTTCGGCAGTGTCATATAGTATTAAACAATTAACACTGGGTTACATTTGCCAGATACTGAAGTCAACCTGGATGTAAAATATGCATTACGGTTTACTCAATGTATATTGATAAAATTGGCTGCAGAAGGGATAATCTCCAATGTGAAAAGAAATGACGCAAACAGCTGACGTTTGTGAGAGCATCTATCAAACATACCAGATCTTGGCCTTTACGTGTGGCTCAGTTTTGGAGCCCAGGAAATCCGGAGCCTTGGGCTGCATACACTCAGCACAGCACACCGGCAAATCTAGTAGCTTAAATTTTTGACACATCGTCTGTGTGAAGGAAGGGGATTTCATATGTTTATTATTATTAACATTTTCTCAGCAATTGTGTTATGGTAGCGCTGGTTTGATTCTTGGCCAACGAGTCTTATAATTTTTATTTTACCAAAAGCTGTCTTGGCCAACTAGACTGTTTAATTCTGTTTGGTTAACACGTTTTTCCTGTCTAACCAATTTGTTTAATGTTCTGAAAATAAACGATTTTGAATTGGTTCTATTTGACTTTGTAATCACCAGATAAACGGCGGTTGCAGACATTAATTGTATGCACAATGCTTAGTTAATTTCCTACAATACTATAAAATCTGGTGTACACAGCCATTAGGATTCAACCTCTCGGCTGTTACGTAAGAGATTCGACCAAAATGTTGCTGTTCATTACATTATTGCTTCACGCCTTCTCTGGCTTTGGTAAGTTCCACATGTCGTAATGTTTTAGGGCCTTCTCCTGGTTTGGTAAGTTGCACATGTAATAATGTTTTAGTACCTCCAGCTTTAGTAAGCTCAAGGTGTCATTTTAGGCCTTTTTCTGTTTTTATTTAGTGCCACCTATCGCAATGCTGTAATGCAATTTCTGACTTTGTTAAGCTCTTTCTCTCATCCTTTGGAAAGTGGGAGGGGGAGATAATTCAGTCGTGTGATATTCGAGTTAAAAAGCGCCATTTTATATCCACGCAACTCTAGTAGATTCCTCCCTTAAGGAAGGCTATTTACTCTTTATTTGAAAGTTACTTATAAATCCAATTCATACATTCATTCAATCTACATATATGATACCAATTTATAAGACGGTTGAGATAATGTTTCTTTTTTAGTTTCAAGCTGTGATTATGGGTACCCAACACCCATCGGTAATCTGTTTGAATCAGCTGCAAAGTACAAGGGAAACAAGTATTATCTCTCCAAGTTTTACTACTCAAACGTGGACCAAGCTGAAAGTGTATGTTTGTCCTACGGCATGTACTTGGTAGAAATCAACGACGCAGGCGAATACAAGTTTGTACAGGACATTGCTCGGCAAGCTAGGACTAGCGGTCTGCTGATTTCTGGAACTGACAAGGCCCAGGAAGGTACATGGATCTTCCAGTTCAGTAAGGAACCCGTCAAGTTTTTTGATTGGTATGGACCAAATCCCGACAACTATGGCGGTGGAGAAGATTATCTATCACTAAATAGTGTCTTTCAAATGAATGATTTCTCTTATCTGCAGCCCGGAACTTATAAGTTCCTGTGTGAAAAAAGTGGCTGATAAAAAAGATTTGGTCTGAAAATTTGGTTGTTTAGGTAAAATGAAAAAAAGCTTAAAAATCATGATTGTTTTTGATTAAACAATTATTTAAAATCTTTCTGAATACTTTTCTTGACTTCTTGTTTTTAGTCTTGAGTAGTTATTGTTGGGTGTTTCTTTTTCATTTTTGTTGTTGTTTTTTATTTTTAATAATGTTTAGCTTAAGTTTATCTTCTGTTTTGGGTTGTTTATTTGTTAACAATGAGAAAAAAAATGGGGGAGTGAGAAAGAGATTTAAATGTATGGCAAAAATCATTGTTACATTGGTTAAAAGGAGGGTATAGAATCTAATATATAAAGCTCAAACGAATTCTCTGTCTGTGTATGTGTGTATGAGGCGGACTGACCCCTGGCACACATACATATAGTAAAAAAACTTTACTTGATCGTCATAGTGTGATATTCTTAAAGTGTTTGTCATCTAAATTAGTGATTTTAAAAAATTAATATTGTTAGTTTTGTAAAACAAGTTTTATTTTTCAAACTTATTATTTAATTAACGTCTTGTGGAATAAACAAACTCAAAGTATTAATTACCGTCCCTGATAGATCACCAAAAAAAAATACAATTTCTTCACTTTCAGATGATATAAGCGGTTTCTTTTTTTTTTACAATTTAAGATCTAAAGCATTATGAATACTTTTATCATGTTTGGCACAAGAAAGTACTAAACAGCAAAAAAGGGTTGAAAACAATTTTGAATTTTTCAATACTTTAAAAAATGCTTAGGCTTTTTTTATTTATGCACCTTTAGCAATCAAATTTAAATTGCTTATATTTCAGTATATATTAAACCTTTTTGAAATAGTAAGAATTTTACAGTCTAAAATATCGTATCCTTTTTAGTATTCAAAAGTTTCAAAATTTGCATATTAATTACCAAATACTTTTTTTCTATAAAAGCAATCACAATTCCCTCGTGACCGAAGTTGTATTTTTGCATGAAGAAAAATTACTGAAAATATGGTTGGCATTGTTTAATAAATTTAAAAAGTAGTAAGCTTTTAAGTTTTAAAAACCTGCGAACTGAGATAAACAGCCAAAAGTAACGAAAAGTAGGTCACTAAAATACCATATCTGTGTAAACTGCAAAGCCGATTGTAAGCTTTGGGTGTTTCCGAGATGATGAAAATTAAGATTATAAAAAAAACGAGAAATCCAGCTCTCCAATGATGCCAAATGCAATATGATGACGGATATAAATCTTTTCCTAGATCTCTTGTAAGATTGGGAAAACTTGATTATTTTTTAATTAATAGGGTCATAAAAATGGTAATTTAAACAAATAACTTTTATTTTCTTTAACGTTATTATTTTCTTATTACAAAAATGGTCAAAGTATCCAAAAGTGCAAGAAATCCATCATGACGAAAAAAAGGAAATGTGATTTTTTACCGCGCATATCCCCTTATATATATATATATATATACATATATATATATATATATATATATATATAGCGCCTTCTCGACTAGCTTCTCCCCTTAACCTGAAAACCTGTATACGTTGTACCATAAAAAAAGGCTGTATTGGGACACCATTTTAAGCTTGATCTCTGTGCTAAGCATATCAAAACTAGCAAATAATACAGCATTCCCCATCTCAGTTTCAATTCTTTCTGGCTCTCAGTGACGTACAGGGTCGAGACAAGACATCCAGACATACAATCCAACCTCCCACATCACTTACACAAAGGATTTCCTCCATGACATGTTTTTCCACCCTCCCTTCCTCTTTATCTGTTGATTTTAAAGTTTTCAACAATGAATTGTTTGTAATTCTTCGGCTTTGGTATGTCGATCACTAAATAATGTTTTAGGGCTTTCTCCAACTGTGTGTACCTTTCATGTGTTGTCCTCGTGGTATCTGTATCTTAACCTTTCGAGCGAAAATAACTAAACAGTTACAGCAGAGTTACAATAAATAGACCATTTCTCACACCAATCTTGCTAGCCGAACAGTACTGGTAACCCAAGGTAGGTTCCGTACGAACTATGGGCGCCTGAATCAAGTTTGTGAAAGTAAAGACGGCTAAGCATAGAACTGACCACACTGTCTCTGTATGCTGTGATCAGAAAAACTTCTAAAATCTACTTCATCTGCTTTATTCAACATGATGGTACAAAAGAAGTAATGTTTAATTTTTTGATCAACCGCGTATCACATAAAAACTTAAAACCACAGCAATTTCAATAAAAGCCAGCATTCATCTAGTAGTCGTGGTCTCCATAGTTGTCGGGATATCCTCCCCACCAGTCAAAATTGGGTGTTGGTTATCCATTGTCACCATTCAAAACTATTGCAGAATTTAAAATGTACTGAATGTATACAGTGCCTACATTTTAAAATTTCACTTGAAATTTTTTAAAAAATCTTTTTTATTTCCTAATTGATAAAAACCTGTCCACATGGTCACATGTTAGGTTCAGAGATGGGACAGTATGGTCTCGCACACGCACTCGCTAACCCGAAAGTTTCGAATTCGAAACTCAGGCTCGAGACCATTGGTCGTCACACGACTGAACTGCCACCCACCCAAATCCATACCATATGGTTTGAAACCCACGGCTCTACCGCTGGCAAGGTTAGAAATGGTGGATTCTGAAAGGAGTCGAAATGTTGCGACGTGTTGTATTGGCAATGTGTTCCAGTATTAGCCAAAATAAACACCCAAAATGGCGTCCTACCTCTACCATGCCACTTCCCTCTCCCCTTCACCCACAAGCTCATGTGTGATGTAGCTTCTGTTGTAGTGTAAAAAGTTTAACACTAGAATGAGCACGCAATGAACCATGTTGAGACAAGTGGGAGTAATGCGGGATGTTGATGACTGTCTACGTGATGAGTCAAACGAAATGCAAATAAAGTTGCACGTGCTTAAAATGTTAAATAAAGGCAATAAATTTAAGTTAACCTTAGACAAGAGTGTAGCTCGATCTAGTTTGTTTTGAAGGACAACATGGGGCAGATGTTCTCAGAAAATATGATGTTTTATTTTTGTCGACTAAAGTTTCTGGTACTTTTAATAAAGGTGTTATTTTTCGCTTCATGTTTGTAATTTGTTATCGGATACACGAGATTTCAGAAAAAAACAGCTTAATACATGCGATCGTTTAAGTTTTTATATAAAAAGAAAACTGATCCCTTAAAGTTCAAATTTTGTGAAATCTCTAATACATTTAGAGACCAATGCTCCTACTTAAAAAAAAAGGCACTGTCACTTTATTTTATGTGTGTATTAGACGACCCAGGTTCTGGTTGGAAAACGGTATGCATTCGGGCAAGTGTCCATTCGTGCATTTGTCTCATTCGTGCAAGTGTCCATTCGGGCTAATTTCAAATTCGGGCAAGTCTATTCCGGAAAACTGCCTTCGGGGAAACGGCCTTCGAGCAAGTCTTTCGGGAAAACATACAATTTGAAATAATTATCAGAGGGGTCCAAATCCAACATGGAATCTGAGAGTAATTATTGTTTTTTTTCCCCGCGTCTCCCCTTTGATCTACCAACTTCTAAATTCGTTAATCAGGTGTGGATGGTTAACCTTAAGACTAGAACTTACTGAACCATGCAGAGATAACGCTTGGGTAATTCGCTATTTTGTTACATCAAAATAGGATGACTAAACAGACAAAAAATATGCTGAAGCATGCATACACCAGAGACAAATGGTGTTCTTTAAATAATGAGACAGTGCAGGGTGTTCTCTGGCCCTGAGACAGTACATGGTGTTCTGTGGTTACGGAGTCAGAACATGGTGTTATTAGTTTACTAGGAAAATTAATGATGTTTTTGTTATCATGCTTAATATTTCACAGATATTATGACGTTTTTCTTCGTTTACCACATTCACACTTTAACATTAACGGGTGTAGAATGTTGAGATCGTGCGAAAGGTCAATATCAAGAATTTAAAGAAATTTGACTTTTAATATCCTTCTGGATTTATAATAAAACAAATATAAAAATCTTTATAATAGCAAGCTTTAAAATGCACTGAAGTAAGAAAATAAAGCAAACTTGCTATTTTTACTAGAAGTAGAAGCTTTGGTCGCGCATGCGATCTCTTACTATTTTAGCGACCTTCTTTAATAAAAGCTTTCATCGCTAAATATATCTGATTCGCTGATGCGAATGTCTAACTGAAATTAACGGGTCTACGAGCTACAAGGATGAAAAATGTTCGATCCCTATAAGGAGTCAAACTGTGTCAAAGTGTTGTGAAGGCACAATGTTCTATAAGGAGCCAAAGTAAACAACCAGAGAAGCAGGGTTTTAAAATGTTACTTTAATTCATCAAACCGGGTCTGTTCTAATATTGTCACTGCCCATTTCACCAGCGAGCTCATGTGTGATGTAACTACTGGTGTGGAATTACACGTTTAACGCTCCGCGGCGCACGCAGCAATCCATTTAGAAGTTGTGGGGGAGCAATGCAGGAAGTTGAAGCCTGTCCGCATGATGAGTCAAACAAAATGCAAATAAGGTTGCACGTGCTAAAAGCGCTCAGTTAATAAAGACACAAAAATTTAATTTACCTTAGAATAAAGTGTCGTGGATATAGACCTAGTTTTTTTAAAGGACAACATGGACAGAAGTCCTCAGCAAAATGTGTGATTCTTTCAAATATTTTTTTTCTTTCTGTTTGTAGTTTATTGTCCGGCCCAATACACTGGGGAGAACAATATAATACAAATAATCATTTATGTTTTATAAAATACGGATACTTTAAAAAAATTATAATTTTGCATTTCTCACCAATTTCAAAGATCAAAGATTTCATTTAAGGAAGCCAGTATTTTTTTTTTACTTTGTTACTGTCATTTTAGTGTCAAAATTGTGTTTTCATTTCTAAAATGGGATGTTGGGTGTGGGAGGCGTGGACTGGATAGTATTTATTTTAAAAACTAATTAACTGAGTTAGAAAGTAACTTAAATATAAACTAAATCTAGTAACCTTCAATTGATTTTAATATAATTCAAATAAAAGTGAAGATTTCGAATAAAAATGAACCCAAAAATATAAACTTATAATAAATTAGGTTTCACAAAATG